AGCAACACTACTCTCCTCTGCTCTTTATCTGAGCTTTCTTTCTGGCCAAACTTTTAAAATCATTCCACTGGGCCATTTGCTTTTGATTCTAAATGTAGAGCTGGCTAAAAGCCCCCAACAGTACCTAAGTCACAGCCTGAATATCTGGCTGCCTTAAAATTTCCTCTACCAGATTAGTCTGCTGCCCTTAATCTCAGTCTCCTGCAAAGTCTTAGGACACAGGCAAAATGTAGACAAATTTTCTGCTAAAGGATAACACACACAGTCTGGAGTCCAACTGCCAATAGAGTCCTTATTCCCAACTGAAACCTCCTGTGCCTGGTCCTTTCCATCTGCTTTTTATCAACATTCTGGTCTTCTGAGCTCTCACAAGAATCTCCCATCAAGCTCAGCTTTTACCATTTTAGCACTGCTACTCCAGCTGGCATCTCCAAACCTTTCCCAATTCTTCCCACAAGCCAGTTCCAAAGGCTTCTGAGCCACATGGCCAGGCAGCATTATAGCAACAACCCCACTCTCAGTACTAAAATCTGTCTTATCTACTTCTTTCGTTGCTGAGACACAATAGCCAACACCCACAACTCTAAAGAAAAAAGGATTATTTTTGCTCACAGCTTTATAGAGGTTTCAGTTCATAGTTAACTGGCTCCAAGGCAGGGCAACCTGGCAAGAGGAGCATGGCAGAAGAGGAAGAGGTTGTGACATGGTGACAAGAAGCCAAGAGAGATCAAGGAAGGAGGAAGGAGCATAAACCCTTCCAGGCCACACCCCAGTGACACACCTCCTCCCACTATCACATTTAGCTATCAACTCATCAGTGAACGAATCCACTGAAAAGCATCACTCCTGAGTGATCCAATCACCTTTCAAAAGCCCCATCTATGAGCTTACTATGCTCTGAGGGAACATCTAAACAGAAACCGTAACATCACCAACCTCAGAGTGAGGAATCAAGAATCTACACCTCCTCACGCTCTTTCTACCACTAAGTGCTCAGCAGACAGTTGAAGTGTCCTGAGGCCAAAGATCATGCACATCTTCCTCTCCATGTTATCTCCTGTGTCGCCAAGACTTCATAATCTTAGCACACGATGTGCTTAACCAATGGATGGACGGAGGGATGGATGAAGGGAGGAAGGCGTGAGGGGTGGAGAGACGGATGATAGATGGAGGGCGTGAGGAAAGGATGGAGGGATGGAGATGGATGATGGAGGGAGGGAAGGGTGCAAAGGTGGAGAACAGACGATAGACAGGTGAAAAGAGAAAGGGGTGTGGGGATACAGAGATGGATGGCAGATGTACGGACCAGTGAGTGGAGTGACTGGATGAGTGAGTGAATGAGTAAGTAAATGCCTTTTTTCTGCCCAAGGAACCACTCAACCACATGAGACACTCTGGAAGCTGAGAAGCAGCTGATTAGAAAACGAAGGACTAAAGGCAGAACTGGACTATACCTGAGATGCACCAAACCTCCTAAGCGACAGGCGAAAGAGGGCTCTTCCTACGCCAGCCTGAGACTGCAGGCGGGGCTACTCTGTATGACCCTTTCCCACTCTGAATCTAACGAAGGTACTTGGGAGACAGCCAGATGGGGGGGGGACCTTCACTCTTACACCCCCGGATTGTGGCCCGTTCCCCCTCACTGACCCAGAACCCACACGGGCTTCCGTGGCAGTGAGAGGGCCAGGCCTGGAGACTAACCCTCTGCCACTGGCCTCCCCTACCTACCCAGAGGTGACAGCTGCCTTGTGATCCTAGAGCTTCCCTCCCAGAGAGGGACAGGCACCACCTCCTCTTGGCTGGGACACTCATCACAGCTTAGAGGTTGGCGGGGAAAGCAGAGCAATGGCCATAACTTCATGGTCTGATGGCATATCTCAAACAGGCACAGGTGTCCCTACTGGGCACACCTGGAGTGGGCACTGCTGTCCCTACTGGGCACACCTGGAGTGGGCACCGCTGTCCCTACTGGACCAAGTTACAGATGGCAAAAACATCCAAAACAGGAGTTGGATCAAAACACCCCTATCTGAAGAAAACATCATTAAGAGCCACTGGGAGAGACCAGCAGAGCCAGTCAGACTCCAGACAGCAGCCTCGCCTTGGAGCGCAACCCCCTAGCACCCCCAGTGTCCTCTGGTTCCAGGCCTCACTCTGCATGGAAGTGCTGAGCATGGGTTTGCTTTGGCCAGAAAACCACACAGGCAAGGAGGAGGGCAACAACAGGAAACTGAGGCAGGTGGCCACAGAGTCCCAGCGGAAGAACAGGCCTGAGGCAAGGCTGCCACTGGGGGATGGACACCTTCTCCCTGCTGCCAGGCACCAGCACGGCACACAGTCCTGGGTGACACAGCCACCAGCCACCATACCCACAGGCCAGGACCACACAGCCAAAGGGAGACCCCAGGAGCAGCTCAGGTATGCAGTCTGGGAAGCAGCCCAGGGCCTCGGCCCCCTCCCAGGCTGCAGCAGGAGCTAGGAAAGCTACATATCTTCATGAGCACATCACCACTGCTATTACAAGCAGGTCCTGGGGAAACTGAGTCACCTGTTGAGGCCACTCCCTGGTGATGGCAGAGCGGGGACCCCACCCAGCCTGCTGGGAGCAGGTCCACAAGCTCAGGTTCTGGCTTGTCCTCCATGGGGCAAGTGCTCCATCTTTACAGACGAGAGCAGAGACGCAGCAGTGAAGGGAGCACGCTGCCCTCAAATGATAATACGCATTTGCTCCCAGACAGGCTGGCGGCCCTCGGTGAGGTCCCAGGGCAGTCAGCCCAGGGGCTGAGGGCGTCCCACATACCCACTCACCTCACACAGCCCACGCTCTGCGCCGCAGATCCCCCATGGGGGAGCTTGGGTCCAAGTGACCTCACCGCGACCTGATGGAGCCCAGGGTGAGAAATCGAGGTCGCCTGACCTCAGGGCTAGATGGGGAAGGCAGCCCCGCATGGCCCGCTGACCTCAAGCCCAACTCCTCTCCAAGGCCCTGGGTCTCAGGGCCGTGCACAAGGCTGGAACCCATCCCCTGCAGCTCAGCCTGGGAGCCTGAGCAGTGACGTCACCCCCAGTCCCAGCACCCCACACTGTGGGACCCTCCACTCCCAGCTGCCCACAGGCAGATGCCAGGGTGCAACAAAGCCCAGCCACTGACCAGCCCAGGGAGATGTGGGGAGACCAGGGTCGGGCAAGACGGAGCCCCCAGTAAAGTGCCTGAACCACCAAAGTGCCCATGGAACCACTGGCAGCGACAAAGGCGTCCCTTTGCGAACCCCTGGCCACACAGTTGGCCGGCCAACTGATGACAATTTAATTCAAATTTATGTATGCCTTACATCATTGCATTCCGCTGCAGTAAATTAAGAGCAAAATGAAATTATACACTGAGTCCCCTGGATTGTAACCATGGGCCAGGACTGGGCTTGGTCCGCCTCCTCTCCACGCAGCCCTTTTCCCACCAGCTGTGTGTGTGAGTGTGTGTGAGACCATGCGTTTAAGTGTGGATAGAGGGTGTGTGCGTGGGCGTGGGAACATTCGTGAGTACACCTGTGAGTGCCTCGCGTGAGTGCTGTGTGTGAACATACATGTCCACAGGTGTGATGCACAAACATGTACCTGCACAAGTGTATGAACGTGTGTCAGAGCTGCGTGTGCAGACAGCTGTGTGGGAATGTGCACGCACAAGGGTACAAATGAGTATGTGTACGCACGTGCACACACCTGTGGTTCTGCCTGGCTCCAGAGTCCAGCCCACTGGCCTTGTCCTGCCCAGGCCCTACAGGAAAAGCCTGCTCTGCCATTTGCCAGGGTGAGGGCCAGGAGCAGCTCCAAACCATCCGGAACAAGGCTGTGACACTGCAACCCCCTCACAGGAAGGGGCACTGATGGCGCCACCCAAGCCTCAAAACTCCGGCCAGCTGACAACCGAGGGAGAGGGAAACCAGCCACGACCCATGTCGAAGTCCCCACACACGTCTGCCCTGCAGCCCTGGACCTCTGTGGGCCACAGAGGAGATAGAAACTTCCACGAGCCAGTAGTCACACACAGCCATGGGCTCTTGCAGAAGTCCCCAGACCTCGCGTCTACAGAAGCCGGGACTGAGGGGAGCCCCAGGTGGCCACTCACGGGAAGCCCTCATCACTCAGGCCCATCAACACTGCGGGACTACACAGACGGGCTCCTCCTGGACCTGGCTCCTCAGCAACTGCAACTGCAAATATAAAATCCCTTCTGCACTTCATAAACCGCACTTTCCAAGTCCCCAGTAAGAGCCCTCAAGTAAATCAGGCAGGGCTGTCACACTGTGTTTCCCAGGTGCAGCATGTGCCTCACCTGCTCTAGGCCTCTTTCTCCGTTTACTGGGCTCCAGCTCGCTCTGCTGAGCCAGTTTCTCTCCCACTCCCCACTTTTACTTTCTCAAATAAACACTGCCACTACTTTTAAAAAGCAACCAACCGATCGGGCAAAGAGCGTCTGCCATCTCCCATCAGTAGGCAGAAAACCGCCCCCTCACAGGGGCTGGGCAGCAAGAGCCCAAGAGCACTAGGGACAGCACTGGCCGGTCACAGGGCCATGCAGAGTTCTTGGGCCCTTCAGTTAAAAGGAGAAAGCACAGACCTGCTGTGCTGCTGATACCAAGTGACACCAAGCCACTCGACTCCTGGGCTGGCAGGAAGCCACTGGAAAGTCATGGCCCCCGGGGCCTCTAGCCTGCCCAGCACAGGTCCCTCCATCAGTGGGAGCCCCACACCCTGCTTTCCCTCCACTCACCAAGTCTGAGACACCTGACACCAGCCACCCGCAGGGGACGGGGGGGGGGGGGGACCATCCTGCTGCCCCAGCCTGATAGACAGCCGCACCCCCCGTGCCCTCCAGGTGGGAACCCAGTCTGGCCTACGCCTACCCAGCATGCAGTGTGGCTTGGCGGCAGCCAGCCCCATCCTGCTCATGTGGCCCAGCCACGCTTGGCCACCGCATCCTGAGCCAGATGGGGATTACTCACCTTTCCAAAGTCACGGACATCGAAGAGGTCGAAGGGGTCGAACAGCTCGCTGTTCCTCAGTCCAAACTTATCGTGGCAGACTTTGAGGAAGGTGCGGATGTTCTTCAAACACAGGAACTAGAGGCAAGGAGGAGGCAGTGAGTAAGCCGGCAGGCCTGTGGGACGTGGTGACAGCAGCCACGAGTGGCACACACGTGGCCCCCTGCTCTGGCACAGACGGAGAGCCCAGAGAGCAGCTGAGAGCTGGCCATGGCGGGGGAGGTGGGCCAGGACAGAGCCGGGGTCGACTCCTGAGCTGTGCCCCTGCGGGCCGCCCGCTATCCAGAGCTGTGAGCCTGACAGGCCTGGCTGGAAGACCACGCTCCCCGCCAGGGTGCCTGAGAAGCAGCCCGAGGCTCCTCCCAATTGTTCACCACTGCCCATCCCCTTCCCATGCCCGCATGTGCCCAGCACACCCTAACGCAGACCGTCGTGGCCTGAGGTCAGCGGGGCCGGCAGAGCGCGCCACACACGTGATTCCCGCGGCACAGAACCCCTAATTACTGCAAGGCAACAGAGCGAAGGGCCAGGGACCATCCCACAGGAAGCCCTGCAGCCCAGCGGTCAGCAGTGGTGGTCACTTGGGGGCGGGGGCAGGAGCAAACAGCCAGAACCTCCACGTCACATCTGGGTCACCTCCTCCTCCACTGTCCCACAGCTGAGTTCTTGTCCCAGCCGGTCCTGGGCTTGACGCTCATGTGGCAGGCGCGGCGGGAGGGGTGGTGAACGGTACCAATCTAGGCGTCATGCAGAAGCAGCTGGCAAACAATTTCACCAGGCAGCCGGTGAGCTGGCCCGGGGTTCGAGTCCCACCCGTGCCAGAACAGCACGGGACGGCAGGCTGGTTTCCTGGTGTCCCTGCCTCCCTCCCTGCACTAACCATGTACCCTGACAGCACACAGGGGGCACTGGCACATGGGGGTCATCAGCCCCCAATCCAGCTCAGCACAGACGTGTCCAAGGCCAGGACCGTGGCAGAGACGGCCCAAAGTAACCCAGGACTTCAGACCACTCCTCAAACCCTCATGGGACAAACTGTACTCCTGGAGAGACTCACAGAGTGCCGGCCCCAGAGTCAGCAGAGGACAGCAGGCATCAGGACAGAGAAGCCAACGTCAAGACGTACTCAGGCTGGTGTCAACCCAGCGCCGGGGACGCTGCAGGAGCACTGTCCCCAACACACACCTCTAACCTGCAGCAGGCAGGGGCCCAGTCCCCAGCCTCGGCCACCCCACTTGCCCTGGCCAGGCTGGGCCCCGCGCATAGGACCCACTTCCTTTTTTTTTGTTTTTTGGGGGTTTTTTTGTCTTTTTGAGACAGGGTCCCACGATGCAGTTCAGGCTGGCCTTGAGCTCACTTTGTAGCCCAGGCTGGTCTTGAACTCGCAACGATCCTCCTGCCTCAGCCTCCCGAGTGCTGGGATTACAGACGTGCGCCACCACGCCCGGCCAGGACCCACTTCCTTTACCTCAGAGTTGCTCCCTGGCCCTGCGCCTGTCTGTCTGTCTGCCTCTCTCTGTGTGCACTTTCTTCTGAACACCTGAGGTCACTGGAAATATGATACTCCTTTATCCCTAAGCACCAGAGCCGCATCTCCTAAGGCAAGGGTGCCCTCTCCCCAGTCACACACACCATCAAAACCAGGACAGTGACACAGAGGACACACAGTTATCTCCATACAGAAATGACATTTCTTCGGGGACTGGGGATTTAGCTCAGCAGCAAAGCGCCTGCCTGGCAAGCGCAAGGTCGTGAGTTC